CGGGCGGGCGGACGGGCCTCCCCGCGCGGCGCCCCCCAACGCGGCCCGGCCGCGGGGCGCCTTCCCCAGGGGCGGCACCTCGTGAGGAGGCGAGAAAGGAAAAGCCGAGAATAAACATGGAAAATAAAAACAGAGGTTGCTACAACCCGTCTCAAAGCACCAAGCGCGCGCCGAGCACCTTGAGAACAGCAAGAACTGCGGAGGCTTTGCTTACCCTCAAATAGATACCTCAGCTGGCTTTCTCTGGTGTGTTTATGGAAAATAGCAAATGAATCCCATCAAAAATACTTTTTACTAACAAAAAATTCTACTGATAGAGTTTCTACTCCAGATTATTTCCAGCAGATGTTGCACAACCCTGCTGGTTACCTAGGATGAGATACATAAGATTTGGAAATGAATTCTGCCTCTTTAGTGGTAATTAACTTTTCTTCCTGTGAGCACCCGTTGCTTTCTTTACACACGTAGCTGCAATAAGACATCTACTACACTACGAGCATAAAGCACAACACCCTCACGCTTTAAGGGTGCGGGTTCCCAACTTCCCACTCCTTCCTCGCAGTTTTAATTAATGTCGCATTGGTGGGGAGCAACAGCTCTCCGGGCACCCATGAGGAGCAAAGCAGGTATTTACCCACCCAGAACGGTGACAGGGACACACGAGTGAGGAACGCTGCTCCTCCACGTACTGGGGCTCACAGCGCAGCACCCTCTGTCCCCTTTCTTTTCCAATCCCTGAAAGAAATACCAATTTTGATTCGTACCCTCTCCCAGCTCCAGGCTGGGAACTTAGGGCACAAAAAAGCCATGAGGTGGCAATATCTCATGTCACCGAACAAGGAGTGACATCGCTGGTGGCCACCCCTACATTTAGGCCTGTGCTCCCACTGATTACACAGACTTGAGGCAGACTTTGTACTGATAGACTCAGCTGTTCGTCACCATTTGCTCATGAAAACCATGAGCTCCAGGAAAAAAAAAAATAAAAACAAAAACCAGAAAGGCTGGATAATAATGGCACTCTTCTGAACACTCTCTGGAAACTACTTTCAGCCTTTCCCAGTTCGTAGGCCCCCACGTGTTTTTCAGGAAATAACTTCGAAGAGAAAGACAAGGATGGTAATCTCTGTGAAATTCATTTAAAAAACAAAAAAAAATATAAAGCTTACCCACTCCGGACATTTAGTAATATTTCATTAACAAAAACTACAAAGGTGCAGTTGACAATACGCTCAGTTTAAAGGTAAAACAGGACTTTCAGAGGAGCGCTGCGCCCGTGCCCTGCACACAGCGAGGAACACCGAGATCCCCCCAGGCCGCCGGGAAGCGGGCAACTGGCGGGCAGACATCTTAAATAAGGGCAGCTGCGGCGACGTCGCCTACGTCACGTGCGTCGCGCGGCGGCAGGGCGCGGGAGCCCCCTT